AATTGTCATCAAGCGGGGCAATCTAAATTTTTAACTGCTTTGGTGCCTCTGCTGTGCCTTAAGTGAAAAGCCATTAGCGTCCCATCAAAATAGCACTTGCTTTATCACTATTAGAAAGTCAAAATTATATTTGGAATATAAGGGATCTCTTTTCAGTTGCCAACTGCAGTCCTTCTCTTCCCTAGTACTTTGCATGAAGATTAGTTGAAACCAACAAGAACTCTTCCAAAACTACTGTGGAAGATTGTAACTGTTGCCATAAATTAAACTACTTCAGGTAGAGTGTTGCTTCAGCAGGGAAGGTTTCTTTACTGCTGGGGTAAGCTACCTTTCCCCTTTAAGGGCCGAGGGACTTCAGCTCCCAGAAGCCTCAGCCATGTTGGCCAATATTCCCATGTTGGCCAATAGCTCCTGGGATTCTGGGAGCTGAAGTCCCTTGGCCCTTAAAGGGGAAAGGTTGCCTACCCCTGCCACTGTGATGAGTTACAGGTTATCTTAAATTATATATACACATCTCTTCCATATTCTCCAACAAAGCTGAATATCAGGTCATGCTTTTATATTAGATAGTACAACCTCATCTTCATGATTAAAAATTATTTCTCTACAGTGGGCTTCACTGTTTCTTAATTCAAGCAATAATACTACTGAAAAGAGTAAGCAATTTAAGAATAACTGATGAAATGTGTACTTACCATTCTTCTCCCTTGTGCATGTCGAACCAATAGTAATAGTGCTAATGAGAGCAATACCTCTGGAATATATATGTAATGTCTTTGGTTTTCATATTTTGTAAGCAACATATTTAAATGTTAAGGGTTTAATAAATGGATTCATCTTTGTCAGAGCTATTAATATTTTTCCTGAACCATATGATGAAGAGTTAGTAGCTTTTATTGATAAGAACCCTCAAGAAATTTTGAGATTCTGCTAAAGCTTTGATTTGCATGAAGGCGTTAAGGGAACAGTCTTAATATCTTCGTGAAAGTGGATGGGGATGAGTGCGTATATGTACAAACAAGCAATTTGTGCATCATTGGTCTGTCAGTGGTTTCTTGTTGAGCCAGAGTTATTCATATGGAAGCCTACTCTTTCTGGGCTGTTCTTTGTAACCCAGTCATCTGCAATGCTGCCTCCTATTATTTATTTATTTATTTATTTATTTAATATCTTAACCACCTCTCCTCAAGGCGAGGCACAACATAGATTAAAACAGATAAAACCGTTTGTACATATCAAGTCAAAACACACAAGGCTAGGACACATTAAAATCTTCCAATATAAAGATAAAAATATACCAATTTGCATTTTCTTTATGCATTTGATAAGACGTTATATAAATCTATGAATGAAGCTGACAATGCATAAGAATGGAGAGGTTATATTTTATAATATAGCGATAAAAACCATTTCTGTGTACAACAAAGGTGGTCTTATTTTATCAATTTTATTAATTATAGTAATAAGAGTCATAAAGCATGTGTCTTGTTTGCTTTAATAATTGAGCTGAATTTACTGAGGAAATATAAAACAGGGCCTGTACAGACTGCCAGAAATAATCCAGTTTGAGACCACTGTAACTGTCCTGGCTCAATGCTAGAGAATTGTAGTTTTTTCTGAGACACTGAGCCTTCTCTGTCAGAGAGCTCTGGTGCCACAATAAACTACAGTTCCCATGATTCCTTAGCACTGAATCAGGACAGTTAAAGTGGTCTCAAGCGGGATTATTTCTGGCAGTCTGTACAGGCTCATAGTCTTATGGTAAAATTTTGGCATATGTGTACAATGCCAAGACTGTGACTAGATGATGATATACATTTATCAGTTTTATTCCAGATCAAGGAAAATACTGTTTAATTTAAGGACACAAAATAGAAAATTAAATCCATTACAATGAGTAACAAAACCCCAAACAGCTTTGAGCTTTGGAAGTAACAGCTTTATCTAGTAAAACAGTTTGGACTAATTTTCATGGGTATAATTAATACCAATTTCACAACTCTCCTCCTGAAAGATTTAACTAATGGGCAAAACATAAGGTTATCTTGGTTGGCAAGAATATGAACAGTTGAAATGACGATAAATTCAGAAGTTCTTATTCACGCCTTAGAACCAGATTACAAGGAACTAAAAGGATGGCAGCAGTTTACCTTTGTTTGGGCAGATAAATGCCTTAAAGTAGAAACTTCTCACCATGCATCCTTGCTCTGTCTCTTGCCCCCAGTTCTCAAGCTTATTTAAATCTATATGTGTACATCCAGCTCATTATCATTAAGGAATCACCTAAAACATTTTCGAGAAAACATCAACCAAAGGAACATAATGTTCAAGTGTGGGCCATGTTTAAAATCCCAAGAGATAAAATTTAAAAAGTCTCTCTTTTTGAACTGCAGGTGATGGGAATAGACAGCAGGGCTCAGTTCACATTTAAATTATTACACAGTTCCATAATTCCATAATTGAGAGTGCAGAGCATGCTCTGCAGGCTGCATGCAATCTCGGGGGGGGGGTATTTTTTCTATTTCTTTGGTATAAAAATGCCTCCAAAGCCCTGTAGGGATTGGGAAGGGCACTTCCACCATAACCCCTGTTCCTCTAGCCTGAAACAAAAAAAATGATCCGCATCCGGCCCCCAGGCCTTCGGTTGCCTACCCCTGACCTAAAGTCATTCAATCCTAACCAGTATTTAAAATGTCTATGCTTCATGAAAGAAGACCTTTTTGGTGTCATACTGTATGCTCTGATGCATTTTCCAACACTATGGAGCCGTTTTTAGGGGACAGATATAAAGGGGTAATTTATAGCAGAAGGAGATTCATCTCTCCCATATAATATAAGGATAAATAAACAAAAAAATAGAAGACAGAGGAAGTAGGGAACAAAGAAAAATGAAAGAAAAAAAAACATGATGGAAGTTATGAAAGGGAAGAAAGTAAAGTAAAAAAACAAAAGAGGTAAGGAATAAAAAAGACAAAATAAAAGAACCAATTAAGAAAAAAACCAAGATAGCAAAACAAAATAAAGAAAAGGTCTAAAAACACAAGAAAGAAAAAAAGAGGAAATAAAGAAGTTAAACATAGAAAAAAGAGAAAACAAAGGGAAAACAAAGGAGGGAATTAATAAAAACAAGAAGCCCTGGTGGCACAGTGGTTAAATTCCTGTACTGCAGCCACTCAATCACAGCCACAAGGTTGTGGGTTCAATCCCAGCCAGGGGCTCGAAGTCAACTCAGCCTTGCATCCTTCTGAAGTCACTCAAATGTGTACCCAGATTTAGTTTTTTGTGGGTTTTTCAGGCTGTGTGGCCATGTTCTAGAAAAGTTTCTTTCTGACGTTTCACCAGCATCTGTGGCTGGCATCTTCAGAGAAACCCAGACACAATCTGTACCCAGATTGTTGGAGGCAATTAGCTTACACATTGTAAACCGCTTAGGGAGTGCTTAAGTGCACTAATAAGCGGTATAGAAATGTACTTGCTATTGCTAGAGTACTTAAAATTCTGGAAAAAATAATCCTCGAGCATCTTCTGGCCTAGTATCACCCTTGCTATGCTTAATTCTTGAGTCATTGGGGGAGAGATGCAGCAATATAAAATACAAAAAAAATTGTATATTTTGAAATTGTCAACCAGACTGTTCCTTTCACATGAGGATATAAGTAATACAAACTGCAGTTTTACACATCTTGTCCAGCAGCATTCTTCACAGAAGAGGGGTACACTGGAATATGTTGGCCATTGCAGAGTTGCAACGTGACTTCCTTCAGACACCAACTGTCATAAATAGACATGTTAAGACATTTAGTTGCTGAGCCAATTACACAGAAAGACGGGACCAGAAATCCAATTATTAAGTTTATAACTTGGTATAGGATCAGCACTGAAGCTTTATAATGCCTAAATAATAATAATAATAATAATAATAATAATAATAATAATAATAATAATAATTTATATGTAACCCACCCCTCTGCTCAGCAATCGGGGTGGCGTACAGCAAAGTTAAAAAGACAACAGTTAAGACATTCCTTCATCCCACACTCTAACCTTTCCACCCCTTAAAACTGAATTAAACTGCAATGGGTTGAATCCAAGTGACCCATGATGATTTTCAGGAGATACACCACATCCTGTTTAGCAACCCCCACTGATCGTCTCTGTAGCATTTTCAGAGCTTCAGGGTGGAAGAGGGGAAGGGATGTCTGCTTGCACCAGCCCAATCGCACATGCCTAAATATGGATCCAACCCAGTGTCTTTCAAAGGGTGGAAGATACTACTGCGCATGAACCAATTATTTTATTAAAATATATTTGCATTTTTAGAGTTCAGTTTGAATCATGATGTTCCCTATTCTGACAATGAAATGAGTTGGTTTTCTTACTTCTAACTGCTTAGGTTAGTCTTGTAAGATTATGAACATGTTCAGAACTCAGCATTGTTCTTGGCTGGAATCTTTTTGAGATGTTATGTCTGTAAGTGGACTTGCATCTGCAGGAATTAGAATTGCACAGTTCTGCACTGTCCGTATCCAGTAAGGGACTGCTGATATTTTATTGCATAGCACAGCCAGCAAAGTGCCCTATGCGTGTTGGTGCCTGATGTGCATTGCTATTCAGTGTGTATTGCATTGGTCCTGATGCACACTGCATTGAGCATTGGGCATTAATGTGCATCAGGCACTCTTGCCAATGTCCCATTATGCATCTTCACAATTCAGTAACCAGGTTTCTTACTGCCTCTGCTACTTAGCTAAATATATACAAAGTTACATTAGGTAAAAGAATCATATAGGATTCCAGTGATTATTTTAAAATTCTCTTTAATTCTACCTGGGGAATGTAACACCTGAGTACTTTTAAAGTTTGTTGTTGTGTGCCTTCAAGTTGTTTCCAACTTATGGCAACCCTAAGGCAAACCTATCATGGGGTTCTCTTGGCAGGATTTGCATTGCCTTCAGAGGCTGAGAGCATGTGACTTGCCCAAGATCACCCACTGGGTTTCATAGCCAAGCCAGGAATTGAACCCTGGACTCCAGAGTTATAGTCCAGCACTACAACCACTGCACCACACTGGCTCTCTTACTATTTTACAATTGCTTCCAAACTGATAGACACCAAATGATGCAATTTTCATATAGAAACCTGAGCCTGATTTAAGCATGCAGATAATATAGTTGCTTGGAGTGCAACTGCAACTACATCAGATAGTTGGAACTGGCTTGACAAACAGCTGTACAATGTGGAACAGCACCTAAATACTGCTGCGTGTGTCAACTGAGCTCAAGTGTAGTAGTCCCTTTGAAGAGGATGATCAGATTACAAGGAATGCACCTGGAGTTGTTATACACAATAAATGATGTAATTAAGAATCCACAAAGGTAGCATTTTGCATGAAGTCTCTTAATCTGTATTTCATGCACTTCCAAAGACGATAATGATAAAGACAAGTCTAAACATTTTTTTTCCCAAAGAATAGTCTTTTCTTTCTGTATACCTACTTGTTAAGGGAGAAATCTTTTTCTGAGCTGACTTGAAGATATCCAGCTGACTTTGTTCCGGATACAGGTATCTTTAGCTGCAAATGCAAAAGTAAAGTTCTTTTACTGAACATTTATTAAAATTATCGTTTTTGTGGACCAGAAATTTCAGAACAGACTTTTAAGTATTCAGGACATGAAATTCCAAATTATAATTAGTCAAGCTTGACCACCATGAAGTCCTGAAAATACACACAACAGCTATACATTCAATAAAGGTATCACTGTTTGGTGGATTTTTGTCTGAATTTGCTAACTGGCCAAAATACACGCCTGCAGGTTTTCTGGATTGTGAGATAACACACTGTAAGCTGCAACAGGAGAACCCTAAAGAATGAGCCAGTGGACTGGGACCTTCAGCCAAGGTAAAACAAATTTTTCTTCTTAAATTTGGACTGGATTAGCATGTTTTACCTCTACACCTACCAAAATATTCCTGATGGAAAAACATGGAGCCTTCTTGAGACATCCATTGTTCTCTACTTACAAAAAAGGCTTGGCCTTACAGGAATTGGATTGCAAAAGAGGGGTCCTTGTTGAGATGCAAATGGTTTTTAAATTTCCTGGTCTTTGCAAATCTCCCAATAGCCACATGACCAGAAGGGAGAGGGACTGGCCTGCAAAAGATATCCTCCACTTACCATCTTAACTAAGGATAGAAATATCAAAATGCAGGGATCTGACTAACATTTTCAATTTTATCTCCAGTTTGGTTTGTAACATCTGCCTGATGAAGAAGCCAGTGAAGCTTCGAAAGCTTGCAACAAGTATATTGTACATTTCGGTTAGCCAATAAAGGTATCACTGTTTGGTGGATTTTTGTTTGAATGCATTCACACAATAATTCTTTATTAGACCAAGCATCAACTTAAGTCTCTACTACAAAAGAATGAGTGAATCCAGTGTAGGTATCCCACTCTGTTAGGCAGCTACTGGAAAGCCTACTTGTTCCAACAGAGTATATCGGATAACCGAAATCTTCCTCAGGAGGAGGAATCCTCACAATCCCTAGAAGGCTTTGGAGGCATTTCTATGCGGTGGGCGGGGGGGGGGGGGAAATCTAGTAAATTGGAGTGTGATTAAGAGTCTCTTTGCATGTTGCAACACAAGTGTAAGAACTATTTCCAATATCAAATGCATCGGAAAAAGTAAGACTTAAGTCTACGAAAGGTCATGCTGCCAACTGGTCTGAAAAGGTGCTACAAAATCTCTGCATACTATTTCCTATATCTTCACTCTAGCCCAGGGGAGTAACATTTTGCAGCCCAAAACACTATGGATGGAGCCAACTGCACATTTATCATATGACAAGCAATGCTCATTTGCACTAAAATGGGTACTCTTCTTCTTGCTCCATAAGAATATCATGGGAGTAGTTACATATGAGCAGGGCTTTACAAACATGTCTGTATGCCCATGCATTCCAGTGAAAGCAAAACTATATATGTTGTTTCCCAAGTATTTAGAACCTAAGTTGATAAACTATGCATTCAATTTAGCTAATGCCCCAATCAAATACTAGTTGTGCTTTGTTGTGCTTCCCATGTGTCAGACCATCCAACTAACTGAGACTAGGTTAGTAAGTTAGACCACTGACTCTTAAGCTCTTAAAACACCCTTCTCTTTAAGTGTGTGTTGTGTTGTGTTGTGTGCCTTCAAGTCTATACCAATTTATGTTGACACTATCATGAGGTTTTGGCAGATTTGCCACTGCCTTCCTCTGAGGCTGAGAGCATGTGACTTACCCAAGGTCACCCAGTGGTTTTCATGGCCAAGCAGGGAATCAAACCCTGGTCTCCAGAGTCATAGTCCAATGCTTAAACCACTACGTCATGCTGGACCCCCCCTTTTTTTTTTTTTTTTTTTTAATGGCGATTCAAAGCAATTAATCAAAGGTCTTTTGCGCAAAAAGAAAATATACTGTTACAAGCCTACAGGCCATCCCCAGCACTGATGCATTTCCATATCGATTGGGCTCCAAATCACCCTTACTGGATTAGACAAATGTTCTGATAGATCCAACTCTCCTTTACCCAAAGTTCAAAAACAAGCTGGTGCAAATATTTTGCAGCAAGCTAAACTCTGCGGCTGTCATTTAGACAAGACTTAATTAAGTGTGAATACATTAGCAGAAAAATTGTAGGCTAAGCAGCAGTCTCCTAAGGGCTCCTGGGTTCTTAAGTAGCTAACATGCAGCATAACGTCATCATTGTATGCAAGTACAGTAAATTACATGCTAAACTACCTGCACCATTTTATAAAAACTTTGTCCCAGCAAGCTCTGTGGTCAAGCTGTAACTTAGAGCCTTTGCAGACGGCTAGAAATAGTGCAAATTGAGTCCACTTTAAGGGTTAGGGTTAGGGAATCATGGGAACTGTATTTTATTGTGGCGCCAGTGCTCTCTGACAGAGAAGGCTCAATGTCTCAGGGGGGAAAAAAACAATTCCCATGATTCCCTAGCACTAACCCTAACCCTAAAAGTGGACTGAATTTGCACTATTTCTGGCAGTCTGCAAAGGCTCTTAGTGTCCTGGACTTCCCCCTCTCTTGTGTTTCCTCCCTTCTCCACTCTCAGCTCTAAATCCATGAAGCTCTTACCTGAGCTTGTGATACATCCACACAATTGCTCTTGTCTGTCAGTCTGATGAAATGTACTTTGACAGGAGGCGCACCAAGTGCCTCCAGGGCTTCTGGGTCTTTATGAAGCTGTTCAAGAGCCTTCTGATAGTACTGTGTTCTGGCAAAACTCTCTGAGCCAGAAGAAAAAAGGGAGAAAAAGACAGGAATGTGGAAACTGTGCAATGGAAGCGATGAATATCAGGAAAAAATAATATTGTTACATATGAAAATGATGCAGAATAGAGTCTGGTTGTTCTGACAAATGGCACAGCCAAGAAGGTCAGCCCTTTCCACCTCTTTCTCTTCCACATATCCCCATGGACGTTTCCTAGCTATGTCAAAATATGTTCCATTTTAATCAAAGGCCAGTGTCCCCCTGAATTTTAAATGAGTAGGACCTGTTTAAATTGGATCTGCATGGACTCAGCTACTGAACGACCTGATCCTTAATTTAGGGTCAGTAACATGGCAAAGAAAGAGAAAGTGGGCAAGTCTGCATCTGTCTATTCCAGTTGCACATACTTACTGCACTTTAAAAAAAAACAATTTATAGCCCCTAAAACTGTTGGGGATTCGACACCTTAAGCATGCTGATCCTTCTAGGAAAACATATGCATGTCTATGATCTTTTGTTATTTTATGACCCCTTCAATTTCCTCCTTCTCTAAGGACCTTATCACACGCTGGCCACGA